TTCCTGAAGCTGGCGCTCAGACCGCTCTCCTCTGCTCCTCTATCAATTTAAGCCTAGGGCTAATATGATACAAAGCCAGCTAGAAGCACACAAGGGGACTGAGTGTCTTTCTGATTCCTGTCTTTGTCCTCTGCAAAGCTATTTCAGGCCGTGATTCTTAAAAGGCTACAATTTTTAATATTAAAACTGGGTCTGTACATTTTGTTAACCATGCTTTCAGGTGCGATTTCCAAAATACCCTCCTAATTCCCATGTGGGAACAGTTCAGGGTGGAAAATGCACAAAAAAGATGGTTCCAGTGGTAACAAGAAGAGGGAATTTGGTACATGACTGCATGTTATATCTCTTTAAGCTTCAGTAAACTTTTGGAGTCCCTGGGAAGCTTGTAATGTGCTTTGGAAGGAAGCATGACTTATGAAATTGCAGTTTTTAGCTTAGCTGGGTAATGTTAATGAGAAAATATTGTGATCTGCGAGTAGAATTCTCATGAATCCCGTAAGTTCAAAATGAATTATTCTGTTTTCCTAAATGAAGCAAGGCAGTGCGATGCTGCTCTTAAATCAGGCTGATGGTGGTAATTATTTATTAACTCGTGGAGGATGATGCACCGGCTGTGCCAGATAAATACGGCCCAAAACGTTGCAAGGAGCCACAAACCCTGGCTTCCTGTGGGCAAGGAAAGAAAGGCTTTGCTTGGAGAGCCCACAGGCTGAGGTCAGAGCCCTGTGCGACAGAGCCGATCCGGGCAGGATGGTGCCGGATGGATGGACTTTCTGCTGGAGCCACAGTGCAGATGATCAAAAACCAGGCTTTCAGCTGCAGTGCAGCAGCTTCGCAGTAATTAAAGTCTGAGAAATCCAGCCCTGCATATCCCTGCTGCGGATCAGTTTTCACTTCAAACGGCGTTTCCCATGAGGCCAGGTCCCGCACCGCTGAATTCATCTTTTGATGAGAGCTACGGGTTGGTGCGGAAGAGCTGAGAGCCAGAAAATTCTGAGCATGGTTGTTTACTCCCGAAGTCAGAGCCCAAGCTGGATAAAAGTGCACAAAACTCATCCTCTAACTGTGTGTCTCACTGCTAATTTCAGGAAAAATAAGCAGATTTTATAACTGCTGTCATTCCAGCAAATCTTTGCCCTCCCCAGCAAAAGTCCTCAACTCTTAGGCAGCAACTCCTGTCACTGGGCAGCAGGAAGGGACCTGCTCTGCTGTTCGGGCTGGCTCAGCGTGCAGGCGTTTGCAAGCACAGATTGCAGGCTTAGCGCTGATGTCTTCATCCGTTTGCTCCTCCTGGGCTGGCCCCACTGAATAACCGGCCACCAAGAAGTGGCCGCGGGCAGGGGACAGCGCTGCTCCCCGCGATGGCGCTCTCAGACCATGTGGGGACGTCCCCGCAGCCGCGGGCCGAGCACCAGCCCTGGCCACCAAACGCAGGGACAGAGCTACCTTGTCCTGCGGCAGCCCCACGAGGACGGGCTGGCCCTTGGTGGCAAAGGCCCCGCAGTGAGGCCTTGGATCCAGGGCTTCTGCTGGCACCTGCACTGCCATCAGGAGGGGATTTATTTACCCCTGAACAGATCTCCAGTGAAGTTATTAATCAGCGAGAGGGAAGAGTACAAGGTGGTTTATTGTGTGCTGTGGATGAATGAGCAGCCCAAGTGCCGATGCCTCGGATGGCAATCAGGAGAGAGGGCGAGCGAGAGGAAGGAGAGGGGAGGCAGCACTGCGGGTGAATATATGCGCTCCCGGTCATGATTACCTTCCGAATAATTAGTTTTTAAATCAGGCAGACGTTTCAGGAACTACTCGCTTTAATTATTTATACTCCCTTTTATTCCTATTATTTATAGTCATCCTCTCGGAGAGGGGGATGCTCTCCGGCCTGGCCTGTTGAGGCTGACACAAACCCTCCTCGAGCCAGGCCTGGCTGCACGGCCTCTCCTCCGGAGCAAGCCCTGCTCCCAGCCAGGAACAGAAATGAGCCCCCCGGCTCCGTAGCCAAGCTGGGTGAGGGTGTTCCTGCCCTTTTGGGCAGCAGGATGAACCACAGCAGATACGGCCTCAACATGAGGCGCTGCGGAGCGCTCAGTAATTAAACTCTCACTCATCTTCATCTCCCCCATCTGCCCAAGTGAGGCCGCTCAGGAAGCCGGCAGCGCAAGGGCCTTGCTGCCAGCCGCAGCAGCGCGAGGCCAGTTCTCCTCGGAGGCTGCTCAGGAGAGCTCAGCTCCAGCCCCAGGGCTGGGGACGGCCCCTGTGCACCCTGGCTCTGGCGGGTACTGTGCGATGCCATGCATTAACCCCGGCTTTTTCAGGTGTTCAAATGTTAGACAAGAAAGGCAGATGGTTGAGCTGCGTTGGGAGGCCTCTGTTCACTGCGCCAGTCCCACGCACAGGTCCTTGCCTCAGAAACGCTCCTCCTTTGGGCGAAAGCGGCCTTTGTTTCTCAGCATGGCAATTTTCCTACCTCCCTCTCTCCCAAGCACTAACCTGTTTCTCAGGCTGAGGCCAGCGGAGCTGCTGCCCAGAGCCCAGTGCTCACAGTGGGGGGACGCGGCCGAGCAGCCCCAGCCACCACCTTTCCTGCTGGAGCATGTTTGGGTTTGAGCCATTATCTAAGGAAAACAGCAAAAGAGGACCCCAGCGAAGGAAAAACTGCAACAGGGAAGCCTGCTGTGGACTTGCACAGCAGCACAGCCTGTGGTCCACATCCATAATACTTAGAGGTACATGGGGTCTTTGCCTCTCAGAAACGCAATCTCTAACTCAGGTTCTTGCTACGTTACACGGGCGAGGAGCCTCTGCGGTCGCTCCCGGCTGCTTTGCGGCAGCAGAGGCTCATTTGGCAGAGCAGCAGATGTGAAGACGGCTGCAACCTAAGCAAGTCTGTTAGCACGGGGTGTGTGGCTTTGCAGCACGGGGAAAAGAAAAAAAGCATCGCGAATAAAGAGATTTAGCATTGGGGTGAAGTAGGTTTGCAGGCAAGCTTTACAGCACTGGCTATCTCACACTTTAAAGTCATTTCCTCTATTCTGAAATCCCAAGTGACAGCAAAGGGAAATAAAATGTGCATGAGCCGGTCCCGTGTTCTGCTTTACCTGCAGGAAACCTGTACGGTTCAGTTCTGCTCTCACATCTCCAGCCCTTGGCCAGCCCTGCAGGACTCGAGAGCATCGATCACCCCACGGCTGGGACCCCCACCCAACAAAACACACATTTCTCAACAGGCCTCCTTCTATTTGCATTCGAAACATTTATTTTGGGAAATACATATTAAACACTATTATTTATACAAAAATGGACTAAATTTGTCATAATGCTTATAACCCCCCAAAAGGCCATTTTAATAGATCTGGATGTCTTTTTTATTGTATTATTATTTTTTTCTTCAGAAAAAATCAGGTTATAAAGGTGAAAGCGGCATGTCTTGCTTGGCCCAGCTTGAGATGTTAACTAGGGGAATAAAAATTAAGATGACCTTTGCAGAAGTGCCTCTGCCTCTCCCGATATTCTTTTTAAACACTTGAAATACATATTTTTTTCCGCTAATACACATTTTTTGTTTGTTTTTGCTAAAATATAGCAAGTCAGCAAGTAAATATTTGTTCTTCCTCAACAGCTCTGTAATGATTCCTATGTGCTGTTGAGGAGGGGAAAAAAACACCAGAGTTGAGGGGCGAACAGGCTCCCCTCGCCAGGCAAAGGTGCCCGCGTGGGCGATGCCGCATCCCGCGGTGCTTCCCGGGCTCCCTTGGCGCGTGCCGCAGGAAGGGCGGATCCGTGCGTGGTTTCATCCATGAGATGGGATATCGCATGGATGGAGCTCCCGACTTTGCACGAGCTCGTCCTGCGGATCTGTCTTTTTTTTTTTTTTTAAAGATGAAGCAGATGGGGTCAGAGCTGCTCAAACGGAGCACGTGAGAGCAGGAGGTCCTACGAAACGCCCGGTGGCCGGGGGCGCTAACATGCAGGGCTCGGTCTACACGTGCACGGGAGGGCTGGCCAAATCAGGGAGGTCGTTACGTACGTACACAGCACACATGGGATCAAAAAAAAGATAAAAAACAACAAAAGAAACCCAAACAGCCACCCTCGACTTCCTGAAGAGCCCCATTAGGTTGGGCAGAACAAGAGACTCCCGTTTCCTACCACCGCTTTGCAGAGACGTTCCCTTCTCAGCCCCCTTCGCACAAACATACTCTGAGCCTTCGACAGGAAAAAAAAAAGAAACCTTCCCAAATGAAAAATAAATATACAAGCTTCCCAGGAAACCAGCTGAATCTGTGGTCCCAGCTGTGAGTGACAGGGAAAAGGAGTCTCTATAAAATTCGCCACCTGGATGCACATTTTCCCGACTGCAAGGACAGACAACGAAGCCCTCCCTCTCCCCATCCTTTCCCAACTATTGCGTGAGGAACAGTCTTAAAAGGCACTTCTCCCAAAGCAGGTAGCTCTGCCTGGCCGCAATGTCGTGATAGGCGACTTCACGCCTAAACACTCCCAGTTTATTGCATGAAGACAAGGTAGGGGGCCGGGGTGAGGGGCTGGTTGGTCCCAGAGGGCTGGAGAGGGCTTGGGAGGAGGAGGAGGAGGCAGGAGACAAGTGTGTCACCATCTTGCTCTCTTCATCTCACCGTACCTTGCTTCTGAAGGCTACATCCACTCGGCGCAACCCTTGCCTTCAACGGACGGAGAAGAAAACGGCAAAGCCATGGGACCAAAAAAAAAAAAAAAAAGAGAGAAGGACTCGGCCTTTGGCAAATTCACCCGCTTCCTGCGGCCTCGGCACAACAGGCAGGAGCTTATCCAAGACCTTCCCTCTGCTGCCGGGCTCCCCGCGGGCAGCAGAAGCCGGAGCGGGTGGTGAGAGGCTCTACCAGGCCCCGGGGGCGGCGCTGG